AAATCCCAAACAAAAAATTGGCTTATCGAATTGAATTGACTTGAATTATACTAAATAATGAAAAGTGGCTAAGCAGAAGATAAAAATCAAAATTAAGACATCAAAATTATCAAGTGATAAGCTGTTTCAACTAAAATAATGAAAAGTGGCTAAGCAGAAGATAAAAATCAAAATTAAGACATCAAAATTATCAAATGATAAGCTGTTTCGACTAAAGCCAAGCTGAAAAACGATCGATTTTCATACCGGGCATGAAAAAAAGCAAAATGCTGCAGATGGACTTATGCTTTTAAATGATTCTCTGGCAAAGACTTCATTTTAACAACGAGAGAAACCAGAGCTGAAAAACCAAAATAGGAGTATAAGGCAAGGAGCAGATAATAAATAGAGGTGAAATAATGAAAAATTCGGTCTCAATTGATTGTCCTCAGGAAGTAAATGAGAAATTAACTTTTTATCGCTAATCAAGAATTATTGGTGGCATTAAAAATAACGGCACCAAGCTATTCGACCTGTTTAAGAGCTTCGGTACCAAAACGATCGCCCAAAATTGACAATTAGCAAATAAAGTTTTATCTCTTTTATTAAATGATTATAATTAATGAAATATTCCATTTTTGGAAAATTTAAAAAATAAATTCTTCAACCAAAATCTCATATCGTTCTCGCCAACTTCCATTGTTTTTCTCAATTTTTCTCAAAGATATTTAAAATTAACAAAGAAAAATCTAAATTTTATAATACTTTTTTTGGCTGCATACGTAAAGTTTGAAGTCCTCACCATTAGTGGTTGAACTCGCCTCGCTGGCTTGTCACATTGGACGAATATGCTGCGGAGTCCCTTGGCGATAGAAATACAGGTGAGTCGCCATCATCACTCGGATTTATGAATATATCTACCTTCCCTCGAATATCATCTGCATTAAGTATTTTATCATAAAGCATCACTTGCGCAGATTCGGCCATTTTTTTCGCTGTTAAGACGTAGAATGATATGGTTAGAAAGATTTTGGAAGCACAGCGATATATGGGGCCAAACAAAAATGATATTTTCTTTACAAACAGGAATGTCGTCGGATCGGGAGACTTAAAAACGTATTACCCTAACCCTAAACGAGCAAAATATATTCTTTCAGGAGTTGATACTCAAGATTCTATTCTATGCTCTTCAATAGATTGCTTTACGGGCACCACTTGTCGGCATTCAAAGGGGTGTGCAAATTAGTCCATGGCATAGCGTATCGAATGAATTAGAATAAGCTGGTGACGTGAAAAATTTGGTTATTTGATGCCTTTTTATTCCTTTTTGCTAAAAGTTTGAAGAATTACAAATAGTGCATTGATATATGCAGTGAAAATGACTCGAGTGTAAAAGCGATGAAAGCTTTATTGTATCAGACACCTATAAATTATAGTACTTATTCTCAACATACAATCATTACATTTGATATGATAATAGCCATATTGATAAAATAATTATTGAAGAATGCTATGTTTTAACTTGTCACCTTTTTTTAAAAATTTTTTCAGCTGAACAGTTTCGTTTTTTGTCTAAATGAATATTTATATATTTACTTAATTATTTTTCCACCTCAGAGTAAATTCTCAAAGTTTCATTTGTTTTCTTGTTTCAAAACAATTCATTTTATAGAAAAAGCTTTATAGAAAAAACTGATTGCAACATATCGCAAAAATTTAATAAATTTATAGAGATAAAATAATTAGCAAAAAACGAATGAAAATGTCCAATATTAAATTAAATTAATGTAAAGCAATGAAATAATTACCATTAAAGATGATTATATATTTCTATTATATATTTCTCTTCTTCTTCTAACAGATCCCACCATTGCTAGTCAGGCTGGCTTCTCTCGTTTCAAGGATAAGCCGTCGATCTGCTTGATTCGATTGTCATAATACAATGGCTTCTATTATTGCCGACAGTGGCATCTGACCACGCCATCTTACCCTTGTAGCCGTTGGAACCAGCCTAATCAGTAATAGTGTGAGCTGCTAGAAGAATGAGTGATACGATCCATTCATTTTTCCATTGTCTATGACCATATTTGCTGGTTCAAAATCTTTCCTGGTTTTCCAAGTCGTGAATCGCTCACCTTTTGGTAGCAACTAAATTGCCACACTGGCTGCCTATTCAAAGTTTCATCGCTTATAGCACATTTTGGCTATGTTAAAAGCCAAAGAATATGCATAAAAGAAATAACGGTTGATATTAACTTTCTTATTAATTCATTGGTATGGAAAATTGCGCTAATAGTCCTATGAGGATAGGGGTCAATCAATTTCGAAACTTATGCCAAGGATATCAAAAATCAGCTGGCAGATAGCCACTGGCTAATACTTAACAGAAAGCAAATTACAATTAAGATTGCTAAATTCAAATTGCTAAAAAGGCTCCTTTTTTGTTTTCGTTTCACCACTCTAATTTATCCCTAATTTATCTGACTATATGTTTGTTTGGATGAAAGTTTTCCATCTCACTGAAGAGGAAAATGAGGAGGAAAATTGGTGAGACCAATTTAATTTTATTTGCCTTATTTTTTTCTGTTATATAAAAATTATTATCGAAAGTGCCATTAACTAAAATTGGAATAAGGAAATGAACAGGAAGTGTCTAAAGGCTATGGTCTTAAATTCGTTAACAGAAGTAAACTTGCTATTTTAGGCAGTCTATCAGCAATTTATTGCCAAGTGAATTCCTGGAAAAAATTTCTAACCATAATAACAGCATCTAAATGCCTATTTAGATATGGTAAATATGGTATGAATTTTTAGAGATTTTTCTAGGAGAAGAAAAATGCTCTTTCTTATTTCATACGAAGGTTCAGTGAGATTTTTGATAAATTTCAGGTTTTAAGTTTTTTTATGTACTATCTGTAATTCTTCAAACTGTTAACAAAAAGGACAACAAATAGCCAAATTTTTCACGTCACCGGCTTATTTCAATTCATTCGATACGCAATGCTATGGTCTGACTTGCTCAACCCTTTGAATGCACAAGTAGTGTCCGTAAAGTAATCTATTGAAGAGCATAGAACTCATTCTTCATGAGTACCAATTTCCGAAGGAATATATTTTGTTCGATTAGAGTAATACGTTTCCAAGTCTTCCAATCAGACGATATTCATGAAAATAAAATACGCCACTCCACTATTTTTTCCTTGGTCCCATATATAACTATGTGTTCACAATTTTCCTAACCATATCACTGTACATTTTAACGGCGAAAAACATGGCCGAAAAGCGATGGTTTATGATAAATTCTTAATGCAATTTTTTTAAGAGAAGATAGATACTCGTGAGTCCGGACGGTACTGGCGAATCACCTGTATTTCTATCGCCAAGGAATTCCTGGCAGAGTTATCCAATGCGACAAACCAGCAGGGAGAGCTTAACCAGTAATGGGGAGGACTATTCAAAAAAAAATACTCGTGAGTTTCTATCCGCTTGGTGGATACAAAGGATATAATTTAAAGGTAAAGAGACTGGCCAAGTTTCAAAGCTATATATTAGGATTGCGCGTATTATAGCCAGATTTATCTTTTAAGGCTGATTTTTTTAAAGCGATTGCAAAAGGGCATTGTCAGATGAAAGTAGATGTTTCTACCTGAAACTAATCGAGCTGGAGCTTTCATCATTCGCTTGGACACTACGTATGACAATGGACTAAATCGTAGAATTAGTTAGGTGAGATGAAGTAAGACAAAAATTTTCCTGCATAAGCCTAATAATCCAATTTCTCAATAATTGTCATAGTAGGTCTTTCTTCTTAAAATTTCAAATTAAGATGTTCTTCCAGTCATTTGGTGCAAATTCTTTTTCATATCAGTAATCAGTTATCACATTCTTAAGAGAACAAAACTATGAGACTATATATATAGTGTTGGCCTTTTGAATAAAGATATATTATTATATTTATATTTGTTATTTGTGTTGACAGATGGAAATTGCAGTTATCTAGGATGACAAATGGCCTACATAGTCTCAGTGATTTCCATTATACAAGGAGGATCCTAGCTAATAGACATACCATGGATTATTTTATAGGCCTCGTTCTGAATAATGATCTTTATGAAAAATGCGAAATAGTTTCCTATCATCGCGCATCAAGCGCATCAAATTATAAACCAAACTTTGTGCAGCCAAAAACAAAATTTAGAGACATTATTTTTAAATATCTGAGAAAACATGAGAAAAGCAATGAAAATTGGCGAGAACGATATGGGATTTTGATTGAATAATTCTTTTATTAAATTTTCCATGAATGAAATATTTCATTAGTTATAATAATTTAATCAAAGATAAAACTTTGCTTGCTAATTATCAATTTTGGACGATCATTTTGGTATCGAAGCACTTAAACAGGTGGTCAAATAGCTTGGTGCCGTTATTTTTAATACCACTAATAATTCTTGATTAGCGATAAAAAGTTAATTTCTCATTTACTTCCTGAGGACTTTATTATTTCACTTCTATTTATTATCTGCATCTTCCACTAATACTTCTCCTATTCTGGTTTTCCAGTTCTGCTTTCTCTCGTTGTTAAAATGAAAAGCCTTTGCCAGAGAATCATCTAGAGGTAAAAGCACAAGTTTATCCGCAGCATTTTGCTTTTTTTTATGCCCAGTACGAAAGTCGATCGTTTTTCAACTTTGCTTTAGTCGATTGGCTTCAGCTTATCACTTGAAAATTTTCATGACCTAATTTTAATTTTTGCTTTTTGCTTAGCCACTTTCCATTATTTTGTATAATTCAATTCAGTTTCTTGTTTGGTATTTTCAATGTTTCAATTGAAAAAAGAATTGTAATGAAAAAAATTATGAATGCATTATTGTAATAATTGTAATTTTTTAGATTTTCTCCTTTTGGCTAAGCTTTCTTGGCGCTATTTGTAAGAATCACGATTAACCTCATCGTGAAATGACCTAAAAAAAAGACTAAGTATTAATGAAGTAATTTTAATAATTGCAGAATTAAATTGTATGTCTCTTAAAGGCCTCCATAAAATAGTCTTTTTGGTGATTCTCATCTATCTTATCACAATTGTTTTGCAGTTATTGGAACCTAAATTACCAAGCGTGTCTGTGCAATATGCAAGTAATTTTGAGGATCTATTAAATCGAAGAAGGTAACATTTTCGCTATTTTGTCGCTATATAACTTTGTATTTCGCTATTTTGTCGTTATTTTCCCTATTATGCATTATTTTATATTATTTTATCACAATATTTTTCTTTAAAGCTTAACCTTATTATTTATATTCTTCTTGCAACATTTTAGAATTGTTTATCTAAAAACTGAAAAAGGTGAAGTTTCATATGACGATTTGGAGCTTCAAGTATTTCTACCATTTGGATATAAAATACTTTTACACTCAATACCGATACCGATATTAGAACGAATCGAGAAAATGTCATGTCATAAGGTATAAAATTTATAGTTAATAGAACAACAAAAAATCCATAAATTTTAATTCAACTCGTTAAAATAAAATATAATATATAATTAAATATTGATTAATAAATATTGATGACTTCTCGAAATATATATGGAAATTTAAAAATACAAAAATATGCGAAATTTACAGAGGAATATTTGTCATGGTTTGCATTAGCCATTTAATATTATATTTGGATATGAAATAATTTTATTATTAGCAAAGTAGTCGTTGTTATTATTTTAGATATTCACAGAATGGTCCTCCACAACAGCAAATAGTTACATGATGTCACCGACAAATATTTCAGAGAACTTGCATAATATATATACAATGAATGGCTATGCTAAATTCAGTGAAGGGTTTGAAATTTTTCTAATTAAATAATAAATATATAATATAAATAAATAAATATTAACTAAAAAATATATAAAATCGTTAACGAATATAAACGGCTATTTTCTTGGTGCTAATTAATTTTAATTATTCCAAATAATCGCGCGATTCTGGCCATCCATCTATGCTTTTTTTGCTAAATGGCTTTGTGGCAAAAATTTTTCAAAATTTTTCAATTAAATGAATTTCATAGCTGATTTGCACATATAATATTTCCTAATAAAGATAATCATGGTAAATCTGATGAAAAATTTCTGGAATAATTTTCAGATATTCCACTGATGACGATTCACCAGTTATCTTGACATGGCGTAAGGAAGATATCGATAAATATCAATCGGAAGATTTTGAACAAACGTTATTATATGGAGATATGCAAGGTGAAAAAATCTCCTCTACGCCATAGCATGTTACTGATATTTTTATCAGCTATTTGATCTTAGGAAATAGTAATAAAAATCCTAAGTATTAAAGTATTCTTCATAGGAAAGTGCAAATTATAACGAATGCACAACTGATAAAAAAAAAGCACTTCTTTCAGAAGCTCTTTATAATGCCATTTGGTCATATAAAATGGATGGAATGGAAGGATTGGTCATTGGATCAATTGTTCCTTGGGTGGAAGCCAACTGCCTGAAACATGGAGCTAGAAAAGTGTTATATTTTAAGATTTTTCAAATAATTTATTGCTAAAATTGTTATAAAATTGTTATCAAAGTATATTAAATTTTAAATCAAGTCTTAAGCACTTCACGCCTAGTTCCATTGAAGTGACTCATTGGCAAAATTCAAATACAAATTTTGTCCGAAAAGTCAGCAGAGTGAACCTAACAATGTTGGCCGTAAAAAAAATTAGAGTTTCACTTAATAAATCAAATATTCTAGTCGTATCAGCTGAGATTCAATTTTCCAACGAGGTCCAATTTAGCTTATACTTAGAAAATTCCTTAAATCCAAAATTATTTGAATCCTTAAAAAATTTCAGAATTCTGCATTAAAAATTTTGATATGGATGAGTAGGCGATAAGATGATAACTTTAAAAATTTATAACTTTAAAATAGCGGCACATTCTTGGTTAAATACATTAAAGAACATTAATGATAATTATAATAAAAATAATAATAATAACAATAATTATAATTTGGCCATTGAAATTTTTATTGTTATTAAATATTAAGTTTTTATTTTATAAATAATGTCCGAGCATGGCGTATAACCATCTGCTTGGATAATAAATAATTGTCAAAGTATAAAAAATTTGCACAAAAAAATCCTTTATTTTTTGGAATATTTGAGTATATTTGATTATTTTTAGAGAATTCCTTCGTTTTAATTACTTCGTTTAAGATAGTTGCAAGTGGATTTCATCGTGTAAATGTCGATTATCCTGAATTAAGTTTTTCTTCACAACAAGAATTAGCTTCTCAGTCGATTAGGTAATAGGTTTTGCCTAACAACCTTATTGCATTATATGAATAGTTATTATTATTTATTATTTATAATTATTATTATAGTTATCATTTATTATTAATATTGGTTGATTGGTTAGATTATGCTAAAAGATAAATGTCAAAAACCACAGAAGGCATGAAATATAAAAAATAATTCAGAGACCAAAAGGCTGCGAAAAACGCAGTTAGTATGGTATAATATAGTAAGCTGAATTCTCCACCAAAGGCTCTGGTCTTTACTCGAGAATTTATTTCTTAATTGTCAGTACTTAATAGTTTATTGTGTTGCATACCTAATGAAAAGTGCAAACTTCAATAAAAAATCTAGAAGTGATGATAGTTCGCAATTCGGAAAAACGAACTGGATTAAATTTATTAGGTACAAAAAAAAAAAAAAATTTCCTAAATAATCAACCATTTATATCTAATAAGAAATATTTTAGCAATCCACAATCTTTTGATTTTATCATCATGCTTTCCGGTATAGCGAGCAGTGGTCTAAGTCGTGACAATCATGGTAATATCTTTTTTTTGAAAAAAAATGAAAAATTACTTTCCTCTTAAATAAAGTTCTTCAAAGCTTATATCTGGTCATGAATTTCAATTTTTTTAAGTTTTTTTTTTTTCACAAAATAATTTTAGATGAATAATTGAGCGAGTTGGAAATTTATTAAATAAAGCTAAACTCAAAGTTGAATTTATTTATTCGCTGTGAATTTAATAAATTTATAAGTTGAAAATCTAAAATATTCGCTTTTTTTTTTATTCTCAAATTTTTAAGAAATGAACGGTGATCTAATGGAAATGTTACGGCTTCAGTGTTTATTGAAAAATGAAGGTCTAATTTTCATAGCCATTCCAGTTGGCAAAGATCAAATTATCTACAATTCTCATCGAATATATGGACCATTACGATTCTCAATGCTTTCTGAAGGTAAAATATCCCTATTAAAGCTCTAAAAATTTTAAAAAAATTTAAAAGGATCAATGCTAGCAAATACGCTTGAAAATTGTTTATTCCTTGCGGCAATCAAAATATTTGCACTTAGATACATCAAAAAATCTGAAATAATTTTTAACCACTTAGTAGTACTGAAATACTTTAAATAAAATTTACTGATCTTCGAAATTCGATAATTTTCATATTTTTAATTAATGCCCATTCGAATCAGAAGTAGAAGGCCTCAGAAAAAGCCTTAAAGTGGCGTAAATCTTTTTTCGAAAATATCCATAAATTTTTTCAGCCGTTAAGAATTATGATTATTTTGTAATCTTTTTATAACCTTCTATTAATTTATTGTTTTAGTAATTATAATTGTAATTATAATTCATAATTCATAAATATAATTTAAAATAATTATAATTTAATTTTTTTTTAATAATTCTTTTTATTTTTAAATTATGAAATTTTTCCAATTTTTAAAAGCAATTTTTATCTTTTCTTATCTTCAGGACTATTTTGAAATTTATTTCACTATTCCACTTAAATGCTTTTTTCTTTTTTTTTCAGGATTGCAGCTTTTAAGTGTATTTTCTCGAGAAGGAAAAATTCCTTTCAACTCAAAAATATTCATAGCAAATGAAGCAGAGGGTTGTATTAAATCCGAACTTTTATTATTTGTTTTTAAAAAAATAAAATAAAATTTAAATTATTATATGACGATTTTTTATGAATTTTATTTCGCTAATGTATTATTAAAATATGGAATTATTTGATGTTTTCACATCAAATTTTTCAAATAATTTTCTATTTTTTTATTACACAATATTATTTTAGATTTATTTTAGATTCGAACCCTATGATTAATTTCTTCGCTCTTTGTAGTTTTTATTTAAATAAATAAATAAACATTGATTCATAAAAATTTTATGCAACAATTCGCAAAATTCTCGTTTCTCTTTCGTTTTTCTCTATGATAAAAAGAATTTAAGAATTTCAAAAAATCTTAAAATATTTTTAAAAACTCGACAAATTCATTACGAATTTTTGATAAGAATAAGGTTTCCTAAAAATAAACAAGTTTTATATATTTTTAAATATATATCTATATTTATATTTGCTGTCCTTTAAAATTTTAGCATGCACTTTCAATAATATAAAATTTTTCGACAAGTTTGTCGATTAAATTCGTTTTGTCATTCTTTAATTTAATTTTTCCATGGTAACCGAATAATAATTTCAGAATATGAATAAATAAATATCTTTATGAATCTTTTTGCTGAATTGTGAATCGCTATAAATGAAATGCAATAACGATTAATTTCTTGTATATAAAATTTATTAAAAAGTACTTATGATTCCTTTAAGAATTTATCTAATGTAAATCGGATGCATTTTCGCGAAATATCGCAATTTTTCGCGGAAAATTGCGATTATTCGCGAATTTGATTTGATTTCGAAATTTTCATACCTAATTTACGAAATCGAATGATTCACCGTTGGTTTAGGTGTGGTATATTAAAAGTACGATTCATGCCTTTCCAAATTTTCTCACACTTTTCAATGTTATAAATTATTTAAACTTTACAATTTTAAGGTACAATTTCCAATATTCGTGAATCATTTGGCTACAGCGAATGATTTAAACATTCTTTTCGTGCCCTTCGACCGATTCGCTCACGCATAATAATTAATTTTTTTGTTTTATAATTTTTTTTATAATTTTTTTTTATTTCTATAATTTCTATAATTATTAGATTTTTGCGTAATCTAAACATTATTTAAAATATTCTTTTCAATCAATTAATTTTTTTGCAATTTAGATTGGAAAATCATTTAGATTTAGTAATTCGAATCAATAATAATTTAAATATTTTTGAAAAAAAAAAAGAATTTGAATCTTGTAAAGTTACAATTATTATAACGAATACTTCATTTGCTAGGTTTTGTCTTAATTTTTTTTTAACGATTAGAACCTCTCACAATTACTGGTTAGATTCGCTCCGGTGGCTTATCGTACTGTAAATATGCCGGAGAGTCCCTTGATGATAGAGGTAAAGGTGAGTCGCCAGGATCAACCTGATCACCCGGACTGGGGGATATAGAATTTCATGCGCTTCGAATTGAGCAACAACCCACTAAGCCATCCTATCCCCAAGTAATGTGGATAATAAATAATATAAAATAATTGCACAGCAGCCCCACATTATTATTATTATTACTATTATTATTATTTAGTGCTTATATTTTTGATTACAATGACTAAATCGTTGTGAATTGCCATAAATGAGATTTCAATAACAAATTAAATTACAAGTCCAAATACAAGAAAAAAGGACGATGGATTTACTTAAGGATTATATTTTATTAGCGAACAATTTGAATTTATTTTTTAGGCGAATACTATTTCGATAATTTTCAATCATTTTTTAATGTAAAATGCTAGAATGTTGGTGCCTCTGAATAATTTATTAGTTCTTCGTAAAAGCGATAATCCTTTTGAAAAAAAAGTTTCAATTTAGAAAATTAGAAAATTATCAAGTAAAAAATCATAATTTTTAATGGAAATTATTAAAATGTTTTTTTAAAATTAATTTTCATATTTCGTTCAGTCTGTTTCGATTATAATTTTCATTAAAAATTTTTCATTTTCTAATTTTATGCAAATTTTCTTATTCGGCAAAGAATTTTTTTTTCACTTAATTTATATAAATTATTTTTCACCCAACTTTTCTATTTATCACTTATCACACCATTTATGCAATTAAATTACTTATCACTATTTATGCAATTAATTTACTGGAACCTTGTTTATTATAGCATCGCTTATTTCAAAATAGGTGAATGAAATAAGATAACAAATAATTGTAAAGTAAAAAAAAAAAGCAAGAAAATTATGAAAATTTGTACTGAATTGATTTATACTGAATTGATTGATAATCATTATTTACTGAGAGGTCATTGACCTCTCGTCAGATTCTTTATTAATATTGTGTGGAGATAGCGCTGATTTCTCTTTAAAAGTTTGCTTCAGCCAAGAGTGAACTCAAGGCCATCTCGCGTCCTATGTTGTTCCATTTTTATAATTTACAATTTAGTTTTAGTAACTGCTTTATTTTATTTATACTGATTTTTAATAATAATTGTGCTTCGCTGCTATTTCTTTTTTTTCTGCTTACCAAAACCAAATCTTCCATAGGGAAATTTAAATTTTATTGAAATGAAAATCTAATCGTAAGTGATTCCATTATGAATTCCACTAAATTTTAAATTTCTTTCTTCGCTTTCGTTTCGATAGTACCAATAAATTTTTAGAATTTTAAAGTTTTTTTTTTCAAATTTTCTAAAGAATTTACAATTTATTAGATAAATAAAACCGATTATTTTAAGTGAAATGAGAAAAGAACAATTCTCTTTGAACATTAAAAATGTGCTTGAGCGATAATAAAGTAATTAAATAAAGAGATATTTCTAAGAGTTAAAAAAATCCTCGAAAAGAATTCAAAATTGTGATTTAATGATATATTTGAGAGAATTCGATAAAGGAAAAAAAGAAGAAAAAGAAAATGATAAATTTTCGCAATTCAGTGCCCTCTTTAAAATAATAATAAAAAATAAAATTTTAAATTTATTACCAATTTTTTATTTCTTGAAAAATTTTATTTCTCACAATTATTTGAAAAAACTTTTTTTTCCTCTTTATTTAGAGTATTTTTCGAATTTTTTTATTTAAATTCGGTATAATTCAAAGAGACACCTGAAAAATATGTAATTTTTACATAAAAAATTCAATAAATTTTTAATCGAATTAAGCTAATTAGACAAATTTTTTTCGTTGAAAAAAATAATCAAAATAATCTCTTTGAAAATTGATCTCTGAAAACTGATAATTTTTTTTTTAATAATTTAACCACAAATTTATTTTTATTTAACCGAATTTTAGCCAGAACTCATCAATTATTAGTTTTTAACTAAGCTATATCAATATATCAGCTTTATATCAGTTATCAGTTATATATCAATTTCCAGTTTTATTAATATCCGTTTTTACTATGTTTAGCATTACGCACTATTACAAGAATGGAAATCTTTCACTGATGAATAGAAGAGTCACTTGGGGATAGAAGTATAAATGCATTACTAGTTTTTTTAAAATAATTTCTTGCTGACATGGAGTTATATCCAGTATCTTGCAGATTTGCTCTTGCTTAAATCTTGAACTGTGGTACTTGACATGCATTATGTTTCTCCACATTGACTGTAAATTGTATATTTTAATTTATTATTAATTTTTTCCTAGAAATTTTCTATGAGATTTCTTTGAATTTGGTTCTTCTTTTTTTTCACATAGTACCATTGCTAGCATTTCTTAACTATTAGATCTTTTCGCGACAGAGAGGATATAAATATAGTCGGGTCTTTTATAATATTCACTTTCCATGTTTACTACTATCAAAGAACACGAACCGGGTCCATGATGTTTGACATTTGTCGAAGCTCTATATACCAGTTGTTCTTCTTATCCTCGGCATGGTGATTCAATTGTGGAAAGGAAGGGAAATAAATTTAACGAAAATCTAGATGAATCTTCAAATTTTGAAATTTCGATTAAATTTTTGGCAATATTTTGTAAATTCTCTCACATTCTTCTCTCTGCAAAATGATAATTCAAATAAATATTGAAATAGGCGTTATCAAAAAAATCATTGTGATAAATATAGCGATATCATTTCATATTGTTGCATTCAGTTTAAGGCATCTGATGAAATATCACATTTTTACGCTTTCCATAGAATAACATTATTGCCTTGGGCGGAATCGAAACAAAGTCGATTCAAGCTTTCAGTCAGCTTTTTCAAAACATTTTATTTTATATCGATCACTGGTAGTTGGCTTTATTTTTATCCCAAAATCCAATGTGTCAGCGGGCCAATAATTCGGCATGTTTTCAAATCCTACCAGGTAAAAACTAAATATTTCTCTCCCATTTTATTTTATAGCGTTTATATTAAAAATGTTACGCTCTATTCATTTATAAATAGTTAGAAATTTCCGATTGCAAATTTTTTTTCTATCTTTTCAAAGTTTATTAATTAGAAATAAAAAGATTTTTTTATGCTTGGCTTAAGCTTATAGCTTTTGGTATTAAAATTAATTATATTAGAGATTAGTAAAGCTAAAATTCGAATGGTTTCCAAGGCTTTTTTTCTAATTTTCTCTTTAAAAATGATTAATTCTGCTTTGAAATTTTTTTCTTATCAATTTTCAATTTTTTATCAATTTTTTAATAAGATTATTTGATAATAAGATTATTTGGTAGATCTTAAAATAATGATTTTATGTACAATTATTAATTTGGATGCAAAAAGGCGGTTCAGGAATCGAGAACTACCATCTTCACTTTACATTCTTAAATCCTTTATAGATTTTCTCAAATATTTCCTTAGCATATCCTTGTAACCTCATTGTTCCTCCTTATATCCTCATACCCTTATACCCTCATATACCCTCATATACCCTCCTTTACTCTCCCAAATACCCTCCTTTAGATTTCGTATACTTCCACGGTGAGAAATTTTGACCTACAAATTTATACTAAGGCGCGCTTAGCCTTGCCGTAATCGGCTATAATTTTTATCGGCAACGAATCCTTACTCGTTGACCTCCTCAAATCTTATTTTGTTTTATTAATTCTATAAAACTACCATTGTTCCTTATTTCCTTTTTATACCTTGCTTAAATTTTCTTTGGTCTCCCTATTGTTTATTTAATACCTCTCAAATCCTTCCTCTCTCTTCCCCCCCCCCCCCCCCCCCCCCCCCCCCCCCTTCTTCAATCCATATTTCTATAATTATTTGTCATTTGTTATAATTATTCTCTGACTAATGAACTAAAAAGTTTTGCTCATTCGTAAGAAAAAATTTTTCTTTTAGTTAGTAAAAAAAATTGAATTATTGAAAAGTATTTTGCAATTTATTTCGTTCATTTGATCGTTTAGTAATTTCCCTTAAACATATAAATGGGTCCATTATTTCTAATTAAGTTTGCTATGATTGTTAGTGTGGTAGGGGATTTTCACTAGGCAGTCATTTGAAAGCAGAAATGCAAATAGGTCATCAATTTTTCAATGGCAATTTACACTTATTTTTAACATGATTGTATGAGCTAGTACCATTCAATAATTATCTTGGATCCATTTTCCCACAATTAAAAAATAATCTTTTGTTTTCTTTTTCTAGATTACATTAAAAGAAATAAATTATTTATTATTATTTAAAAAATATTTAATTTTAGTCAATTATAGAATTGTACAAAAAATAAATGCTTTCATTGTTCCTTATGAATACCAAGGAGAACTAATTTAGTCATAAATTGTTCATTTCGAAATTTCTTTTCATTGAAAATCAAGGTCTTTGTTTGACAATTTAGGCTGTGGAATATTAATATTTTGAAGATGAGAACTCTTCAGAGAATCATTCGAGGATTAAAAATTACAAATGAATGCTTCTGCGAATTTCATTGGCCTCGGTGACAGTGATGATGAATAAGCTAATTTTTTTCAGCCAATAAATTTTTCAATTTTAGCCAATAATTTTTCAATTAATTCTAATGTATAGCACATTAATCTCATTTTTTAAAAAAAATCGATTTAACAATTAATTTATTTGAAATGAATTTTTTTATATATATTTGAAATCACCAACATTACCATTTATAATTGGAAATCGGCTCAATTATTGCTCAATTCGGGGCGTTGATGCTGAAGTTCAGCTCCCCACAGGCGTAGACCTGTCCAAAAATCCTTGCGATTGCCCTGTGCCTCTACCGTAAAAAGACTCTCTGGCAAATTTGTCCAGTGCGATAAGCCAGTGGAACGAATCTAACCAATATTAGTAAGGGTTCTCAAAAAAAATCGCATGGAGAAGTTATCAATCACAGTTGAGGTGAATTTAGTTATCTTTAGCTTATCTTGCTAGTAGTAAACCTGTCAAAAATCTGCATGATGCTTACCATCTAAATTTTACTCCTTTTTTCTCGTTTTTTCTTAAAAAACTTATAAAAATAGATTGGTAATGTATTTATATATTTTTTGCAATATTCGTAGCAAGGCTCAATAAAGCTCAAATAAGTTGCTTGCTATTCTCATTTTGAACCGCCGATGCTGGGATTTTCTCCCGATAGAAGTAAATATACCTTTCAAAAGTCTGCATGATAGTAGCGGCTCACCTTATCAAATGGCCAAAATTTGTCAAATTGTGCAGGCTATCAGAACGAGTCTAACCAGAAATAATTTTAGAAAAAAAATTCCCGGATTTATTTCCTATCTATTTAATCCATTTATTTTCGAATATTTATTATTTTTTTGTTGGAAAATTCGTTAAATAAAAAAAAATTTTATATTTTTCAATATTCTTTTAAATATATTTAACGTATTTTAAAAAGTTTTTTTTTTTAATGCGTAAAATTTTTTCTATATAATAGGAAATTCAATTGTGAACGTAAGAAAGGAAACAATGAGTGAGGAAGAATTGAAGCAAAAAGCGCGTAAAGAACTTCAATCAGTTACGAATCCTGTCGAACGTCTCCGTCTTCAGTGCTTTTTACGTGGAAATGCTGGTATAAAATCTCTTGCCAGGTATCATATATCGTTAATTTCTTTAAACGTATTATTAGAATTCTGAAAAAAAAGGAGAGAAGAAAAATTAATGATTGACAAAAGGAAACCGCGTGATGATAGCTATCGCTGTTGTTTTTATCAAATCGCTTATCTATCTTCGTCTATAAATTTGAAAAAATTGATTCTTTTTTTTAATTTTCACTTAAAAAAGAAAAATATTTCACTCAAAAAATTCATTGAATTCAAAGGTAAATTTTAAAAATTAATGAATTTTGTCGCTTTGCTAATCTATTAATCAATAGTTTTACTATTCATATTATTTAAAATTAAATTTTGAAACTTCTAAGAAATAAGAATTTAAAAAAAAAAAAATTAGTATCGCTCACCGAACGCATTGAAAATAGCTATGAATTTCCGGATAAGATTAGCAAAAAGCATAAATTTTTAAGAGTTTTTTTTTTTCATGGAAATATTAGAAAATAACGATAGTATTCATTATTGAATGCCTTAATGGAATGGAATAATGGAATTAATTTAGATCATTCCGCATAATGGATGATAATGAGAATCGATCAATTGACCTAGCTGAATTTAAAAAAGGACTGGCTGACTTTGGTGTTACAACTAATGAAAAAGAAATCGAGGCTGCTTTTAAACAATTTGATAAGAATGGCTCAGGAGCTATCGACTTCGATGAGTTTATTAGGACATTACGAGTAAAATTTATGCGAAAAGCGATATATCTAATACATAGTGATAATTCCTCTTTACAAATAGAAACAATTTCAGCCACCAATGTCTCAAACAAGACTGGCGGTCGTCGATGCAGCTTTCAAGAAACTGGATAAAACTGGTGATGGAGTGATAACCATAGATGATTTGAAGGGCAATTATTGTGCTGATAAAAATCCACTATACGTTTCGGGTGAAAAGACAAAAGAAGAAATAATTACTTATTTCCTAAACAATTTTGAAATTGGAAAGCATGTCGATGGAAAGGTTAATTGCTTAAATTAATTTCAAAAAATTTGAATCCAAGCTCTCCATTATTGCATCTGCAAAAGCGAATATCTATAACGTAAATAAAATATAAAAGAGTCGATTGAATGCAGAAGTACCAAGTAGTATGTCAGATATAAATAGTATAAGTCATTTCCAATGCATCAGTTTGTAGTAGATACAATGGGTCAGTGAGTTGTTGCTCAATTCAGAGTGCCAGTGCTGGCGTTCTATTTCCCGTGGGAGTAAAGCTGTCCAAAAATCTAAGTGATGCTGGCACCTGTATTTCTATCGCCAAGAGATTCCCTGGCATGTTGTGACAAGCCAGCGGAGCGAGGTTAACCAGTGAGGACTCTTTTAAAAAAAATCTGTAGAAATAAATATTTTTTCTTTCTTTTCTTTTGAAATTCTTTTGAAATTTTTTATTGGATATTTCTCCATTATTATTCAGGAAATTGCGATTATTTAGATAACTTTATATCATTTTCTCAACATTTTTATAAGTAGCACTTATTTCAGGTAACTAAGGACGAATTTCTTAATTACTATGCGGGAGTATCGGCATCAATCGATTCAGATGCATATTTTGACTTAATGATGAGAAATTGCTGGAAATTTTGATAATTTTTCGAAATTATAATGAAAAATAAAGAAGAAATTTCCTTTACGATAATCACTACTTCTCCTCTCGTTTATATATTCAATTTGAAAAAATGGAAGTTTTCATACTTAAAATGCTTTAATATATTTAATCTTTAATAAAATTTTAAATTAAATATTCATATGAATAATATTTATTTTGAATATTGTTTGTTCATGAAAATTTTATGGAAAAATTGTTCTCTCATGGATTTCTAAACTTTTTTTTGCAAAAATGGATTTGAATTTTTTAATTTAATTTTTATTATATTGAGAACATTGGATCAATGAATATTTTAAATGAATATTTTGTTGTGATCTTTAAAAATTCCTTAATTATAGGTTTTTTTTTGAAGAATAAAAGTATTTTTATTCATTTTATTAAATAATATATCGTTTTTATAATATATTCCTTTGTAATATTTTCAAAAATAATATAATATAATAATATAATTATTTTTTCAAATATCATTATTATAATAAATTATAATTATCTGAATAACAGAAAAATGATAGCAAAATATTTTTATTTACGTATTTTAATTGTTTATTATTATTACTTACTTGAGATTAAATTAAATTAAATTGTTTGAATTAAATTGAGATTTTTAAAAATTTGGATCCAAATCGCAAATCGGAAATCTTGGATCCAAATTACAGATCGAATTTTATTCAATCGAACCCAAAATCGTTGCTGAATCATTTATAATTTATTTATGCTTATATATATATATATATATATATTTATATACATAATGAATATGAAAAATGCCCAGGGTTGACAGATTAATTAGAGATGTGGAAAACGAAAACCTATCTCTATCCAGAACAGTGCACTACTTAAATTAGCTGAGAATTATCAGAATCCCTAAGCTTTTAGGCTTTCGGGCCTAATAGAGGGTTCAAAGGTTTAAGAATGGCCTCATATCACCCACATGTAATGAGAAAGAGACTTTTTTAAATATGTAATATTCAAAATGTTTTAATTAAATATTTCAAATAATTTTTTAAATATTTTAATATTTTCCACAGAATCATTTCTGATTTTGCATATTTCCCATGCGTATTCGCAAATATAAAAACATTTTTTATTGGAATTTAAAAATTGGAAAGATTCACATATTTTAACGTTTTTTTTTACTGAATTCAATATTGAATTTAATTTTCAACCTGTTTTCGAGAAATAAATGAAAAATATCCATAAAAATATCATTTAATTTCATTTCGAATATTCTTTTCCAAAATAATAATTCTAATGGAGAAAATTTGAAAATTATTGATATGTTGTAATGTTCACAACAATCGACCATTGGGAATTTGTTGCTTTTGCAAAGAAAATTATCTGAAAGAATTTTTTTATAAATTTTTAGGAAAATTTTTAAAGAAATTTTAGTTTATGGATAAAAATTTAATGTCAAATTTAAATGGAATTTCAATAGGAAAAAATAAAATTCGAATTTAAAAATTTCTAGAAAAATTTTCCAGTTTATTTAGTAAATTATTTGAAAATTTTTTATCATTTTTGCAATAACTATCGGATTTTTATACTCTATAAAATACAGCATATAAATTAATAGACACTGAATATTTGTATTAATTGATATACTAACAGTTGGCTGGTCGAAATGCATCTGTAACGGATTCAATTCGCTTATTTGTACATTCTTAGATTGAGAACAATCAATTTTAATTGGAACTTCTAAAGTCTGAAATATTGGATTATTTTATTATTGTCATTATCATTGTCAATGCTATCATTATCAATACAAAATAGTATTGATAGAAATAATATTGCAAGCTGATAATTTGTTTCATCGTTCATAGTCAAAAAAATTTCACCAAATAATTTCTACTAAAAAATTTTCATTTATAGAAAAATTGATGCAAATCGAAAATTATTCTGTTATTCCACCAGTTTCTTTAAAATTTACATCTTTTAATTTTATATCTAAATCTGACTATAAAATAAAATGAATCATTGCTTAATTTCTTTACTTTATCTTTATAGATTTCTGTTTTAAAGACATAATTAAAGAGGGAAAAGAAGTAAATAAAATTGTTATAATTCCACTTCTTCATCAAACAATATTTCTAGTTTGGCTGGAATCAATCGCTATTAACATGAAACACTCCAAGATCGTTTGGAAATACGAGCATAAGCCAAATATCATTTATCACCTATATTTCTTTCTTTTTTTTTTTCAAGAGATTTGCTTTCTTCAAGAAACAAGAAAGAATAGAGCAATCGACATGTTACTTGATACAATTATTATTGATTATCCCGAAATTATTATTAATATTAAAAAATATTAAAATTAAGCTCATTCTGCATTGTTTTATTCAATATACTCTCATTTACTACTATTTTAATTATTTTAATGGTTTCCTAATAAATAAGTTTTTTTTCTTCTTAGCAGTAACTCTTCATTCTTTAAAAAAAAACAAAAAGTACAAATACAATTTTAATAAATAATTAAATAATTGAAAACGAAGTAAGAAAAATAAATTTTTGATAGAAGCAAATAAACAACCATTGGAGAAGACACGCAAACGGCGAAATATTCACATTTCCATAGCTTTATATTGGAGTTGATTTCTGGTGCACAACATATTCCATTTTTCCAGAAATATTCGATTAAAGTCACCAATTCCCGATTGGAAAATGTTCGAAAATCAGCTTCTAAAAATTCGATTTCATCGTTCGACGTGACGGTTATCGAACAAGGACAATTCTAAATTTTCGAATTTTATCATTATTTTAGAATTAAACATTTTCAACAGTTAAAATTTTTTTGAAATATTTTCTTATTTTCTTCTTTTAAAATTTTTTAAAATTTTATTTGATATCTTTTAAAAAATCAAAATAAATTCTGTTTTTTTTTCTAAGAAATAAATACTCACTTTCGCCTTTATACAAGAATTTTTTCATCATCACCATTAGTCTAAGGTGATTTTAAAAATTAACCAATATTTCTTTTTCTTCTCCTTCTAATAACTCGCATTTGCTAGTTTGCTTCCCTTCCTTCCCTTCCAACTAAGCTAACCCATCTATTTATATTTCTATTTTCTTTAGCGAAAGGATTTTATCAATTGATAGGACCGCCAAATCAGAAGAGGTAGAAAATTTAACCATTTTATTTCAAGCTTAAAATTATAAAACTTATATAATCTGTATGGTTAAATGGTAGGGGGGTAGAATGGCTCAGTGGGTTTTTGTTAATTCTGAATACTGATGCTGAAGTTTTGCTCACCACAGGAATAAACCTGTCCAAAAATCCGGGTGATATTGGCAACTCATCTATATTTCTATCACCAAGGGACTATCTAGAATATTTGTCTAGTGCGACAAGCTAGTGGAGCGAGTTTAACCAGCAATGATGAGAAAAAAAAAAGGTCAAATGGTGCTACAAAAGAAATATATTGGTACTTTTTGAAGAATAAGTTGTTCATTGTAGCCAATACAAAATAGTGATGCCCATGTATCATCCGTTGTTTCACTTGTTGACATGTCAAGCTGAAAACGAAAATTTTTGTGGCTAGCTATAATACTAGGAAATTTCGTATAGTTTCTCGATATTTCATCTAGCTTTCCTGACTTAGTTTTTTCACTGTCGAAATATCATAATTACTTATAATTAATATATCTATCACCAAATCATCAAATGTATCTAAAAATATGAACAAAAATTATCAAAATTTACGCAAAAAATACGCAATAAAATCGAAAATATTTTATTTACTTTTCTGTTTATCTATTTTTAAAATTTTTAAGTAATTTATCAATTTATCAATTTATCAATCTTTAATCTCCTACAGTTAAAATACCGAATATTTTTAAATAAACCAAGAATTGGTTGGAATTTTTTCACAAAAAATTTGCCATTTTTCTCAAGCGAATTTTCAGTGAATTGAGTTTTTCGAAAAAACATAAGTTAATTCTGATGATTATAGAGCAGTGTAAAATTATAAAATGCGTTTTATTTAACTGAATATTTTCAGCGAAAGTTTATTGTTTCTGAGTAATGAAGAGTATCACCTAAAATAACACCGTTCGGGGCTCAGGCCAAGTTCTACGCTTAGTCCGAGGCTTAGCCAAGGATTTCGCCAAGAATTTCTCTGATTCGACTTGCACAATATTCTTCTTCTAATATCTCTTATTATTATTGGTTAGGCTGGCTCCAATAGTAAGATGCTTCCAAGCAGCATGGTGCCATCGTCGACAGTAGTAGAAGCCATTCCTTTTTCCATCGTCTAAAATTTCTACGAAGTAAGTAAGTAAGTACCACCTAAAGAATATTTGTGAAATTGCATGCATAGTGGATTTGGCGACGACAGCAAAAAATACTATAAATGAACATAAATGAAAAGCATTTATTGTGAGAAACTATCAAAGGAGATAGGTTCTTGGAATCTAAATATATGGAATTCAATTTGTAGGGCAGCCAAAGATCTGGTAAGTCTTCAAAACTTGATAAGTTCAAAGGAATTTCTGCACTCCACAATCGAAGCTGTCTCAAACATTGAATGAAAGAACAAAATTTGCCATGGAGAAATCAAATAAGTTTCGGTTTCACTTCAGCTTATACGATTATGGATAAAAAAGAGGAAATAATATTGGGCGGAATTATAGAGTTTGGTTTTCTACGATAATCTTAGACATAAATGCCAGTGTTAATATCAGCCAAGCCTAATAAAATGCTTCAAAAAATACAGGCCAAAAATTCAAAGAGCCTGACTAGGAAGTTGCATCTAATTCACCTTTTAATCCTAATTTTACTCTTTTTTCCCATTATCATTTGTTCAGTGTCTGAGATATATGCAAAAAACATTCCTTTCTCTTAGCAAACAACCTTAAAGGATATTGTAAATTCAATGATATGAGGTTATATAAAAACGATTTTACGAACTATTTTTTGTTTATAAAGAATTATGAAAACCGCTGATAATTATATAATTATATGATAACTATATGATAATCATTT